TTTTTTTTTTTGCGAGCCTCGTTCCCCGAGACACGAGACCCCTCTCTTGGGTCGCAAGGACAGGAGCAAGTCTTCCGCACAGCAACATTGGGCTCTCCTTTTTAAATCCCCAGATCAGGACTCTTCTTCCAAGGGCCTGAAGCAGCACGAAGATGAAAGTTAGGACCGATATGGGTTCTTTCTCCGTGTAGGGCACGCAGGCCCTGAACCGTCTCTCGCTATTGATATCAGTACACAATCCTTGTAGGCCTTCTTTGGTTTAAACCCTACAATGCTTGGATCCGAGGTGTGATGAGCCCTGGGCAGCTGGGCTTACCACAGCGCTGGTCGCCCCTTGGACTATGCCCTCAAGGGGTTGGGAGGTCTTTCCAAGGACTAGGGCCCAATTTTTGGAGTACCCGTCTTAAGGGTTAAAAGATATTGGGATCTAGATTTGGGCGCCCTATGTATTACAAGGAATCTGAGCATGAGTGCGGTTCAGCAACAGTGAGCAAAAGTGAGAGATTGCAACTGTGTTCTAAAGTTGGCTGCGTTGGGTTATAGATGTTTGTTGTAGTGGACTGAACTGACTGCACAGGGGCAACTATCCGCATTCAAGTGCCCCAGCGCAAACTTGGTTGAGCTAGCGACACCGGGGGCGGGAATCCTTCATTGCCACTTTCTGCGTCAAGAAGTGAGAAACCACACCCGACTTTCAGATGCTTTTGTTTACGTTGAGATGCCCTCTATGTTCCCTTCTTGGGTGGCCGCCCGGAGTAACAGTCCGGGCCTGAATTTTGGAGGGAGGAAAGGTTGAAGCTTTTGTAGTATTTCCAAGATTTCCAGCCTCATGTGGCAAGTTAAGGGGACATGATTCTTGACTGAGGGGCAGTAGGTTCCTTGCGCAGATTCAAGCAGCACCTTCAAAGAATGTTCCACTTGCAAAGAAAGGGAAGCCAGTCTTGAATTACAACTTTAGTTCCTTATAGCCCGCTGTTTTTCCCCAGTTCCCGTTTCATTTTTTTTTATTTTCGACTGTTGGCAATAATGTGTGATCCTTGTATCTTGATTTCCGGACCTGCTGAACTCTGAGGCCTGAAGCCAAAATGTACGCAGTCAGCATGTCTAGCATGCTTCAAGTACTAGTACTACTCTCTCTGGTTTGTGCCGGGACGTCCCTCAAACCAGCCTATCCCACATACATATGTGCCAAGATCTTTCTGACTTTTAACTAGTATGTACATTGCCGACGCTGGCCTTCAGAGGCATCCTTTGCGGCAAAGTCTCCCGCAACA